ACATAATTATGGTGAACTTGTTAAATATCTGGCTGAAAAAAAAGTCATTCGAGATAAAGTAAAGTGCCCACATTGCAATACAGTCATACATTTGGATACGCAGCAATCGGAATCCTTTATTCTTCACTGTACCGGAAAATATTACAAACAAATTCGTGGAAGGAAACGGAGGCGACAAACATATAATTTTAAAATAAGTGCTTTAACAAAAACATGGTTTGCTTGTGCTACATTAAATTTACCCGACATATGTCGCTTAATTTGTTACTTTACGTTGATGACTTCTCCATGTCAACTGTTCTTGCAAGCAGAATTGTCAATTTCATCTCACACAGCTGTTGATTGGATAAATTTTTGTCGCGAGGTACATTTTTCAACTTCATTATTATTATTACACACATACATAGATAAAGAAATAAATATACATACGCCATGTATACATATACATATACACACACATCTATACACAGCTTCTAGCACAATGGATATCAAATGGTGAGAAACAACTAGGTGGTCCAAACATAATTGTAGAAATTGATGAGGCTAAATTTGGCAGACGGAAATATCATCGCGGACGCATTATAAGTCAATGGTTATTTGGTGCTATTGAACGAGACACAGGCCGTTTATTTATTCTACCTGTTAATCAACGATCGTCTGACGTGTTGATTCCGATAATTCGTCATCGTATTGCACCAGGCAATATTATACATAGTGACTGTTGGCGAGCATACAATTCGTTATGTAATTATAGTTATATTCATAATAAAGTAAACCATAAAGAGAATTTTGTAGATCCACAAACAGGAGTATATACACAAAATATCGAACGTTTGTGGCGTGATATGCGAGGTGGAATTCCCAGATATGGTATTCGAGAAAAACACTATATGTATTACATAGCAGAATTTGTTTTCAAGCGGAAATATGAATATCACCAACGTATTGATAAGTTCTTCGAAATTATGGCCTCGTTATATCCGATGGAAGATTAAATATAATGTAATTAATAAATAACATTATTCTTGGATAATACCTTTATAAAAAAAATCTCTCCTTATGTTATATTTGTTGAAACAAAGTGTTACGTTCAGTTGTATACGCACCTACACACACACACACACACTGACACACACTGACACACACACACACACACTGCTTGGACGCCTGTGCGCTCGCCCGCCCGACAGGGCGTGTAGTAGGCATCTTCCTAGCTTACAAATTCGATGTTTTTGTATATACGGTGTCCAAAAATTACGTTCTATTTATGGAACTTCTTTTGTTAATAACTTTTTAACGAATAACGAGCGACGGCTAAAACCTTCTAAAGGTTACTCAGGAGGGTGTCCTTGATAATATATATCAAGGTCAAGGTCATCGGAGGTGGGTCTCCTATACTGCATAATTACCAAATAATCGTAGTTCGTTTGTACCTGTTTGTACCCATTTTCCGTTTTGTTTGTATCTTAAAAGATAAAAAAAGAGGGACTTAAAAAATAACCAGCAAGCGCAAGTATAAGATATCCAAAAATGGCCAACGCCATTCGAAAGAGCATCATTTGTACCTCTTGAATGTACAAGATTTTCAAAATATATCTACGTCATTTTTTGAGATATTTCGAAATGGCCAACGCCATTCGAAAAAAACATTGTTTGTACATATTTGCACCTTCCTTCAAATCGTTTATACTTCAAAAAGTTGGAAAGAACAGTATTTTCAAAGTTTGTCAAAGGATTAATATGTAATTTGACAAACTTTGAAAATGCTATACTTCCGAACACTTTGAGAGGGTACAAACGATTTGAAAAGCGGGACGAACGGATAGTTTTCCTGATGTATCTTAAGTCTTTTCCATGTAAAATAATCTGACCAACATCTACTTAAATTCTGATAAAATGTGCAAAAAGATAAAAAGTAAAGTATTTTAAATGTATCTAGATTTTTTCATAGTATCTGAGTGTAGTTATTAACCTGAAATTTATATTTGTATTTATATCGCGAGATATATTTCTCTCTTAATATCTATATAACTATATCTAATTCAGAAAATGTATATATCACAATATTGTATTTTAAAAAAGGAAAGTAAACTGAGTAATCGCTTTTCTTATGGCAGTAAAATGATATTTTTCTCTGTATATTCAAAAGCAAAACTATTTTTATTATATATTATATTTTTATATGTTTTATTATACTATTATATTTTATTTTAATATTTTACTTTTTTCTATTTTGCATTTTTATCTATCAGTTAATTTTATATCTATTATCTCATCTGCAAAATATCGAAAACGAACGAAATTCTCTACGACTCTTCGAACTGTGGAGATTTGCGCGGAAGAACAATGATCGCGACATTAAGCGGCGTGTATATGCGCTGCGCAAATATTTGACAAACGACGTGTGTGTGTGTAAACATTAGCTGCTCTGAATTAAGAGGTCTTTTCGCTTCCTTTAATTACACTCTCTGTTCGTATGTCGCGTTTTATCTCTTCACTAAAGCGGGGACATACGTCCTCCGCGTTCCAAGCGCCAAGCGCGTGAAAAGGTAAATGGGGTAAGAAGTGGTTTAGAACTTGACGGATTATTCGCGAGGAGCGAAGAGAGTGTCAGCTGGTGAACCGGTACGATCGATATATTTGACTGGACCCATTTGACCCCGACATATACAGAGTGCGTCGAACTGAGCTACCGAGTGTTTTTTTTAGTCACCGATATTATAAGCGATTACGTCTAGGACACGCTTTATTTTTCTCAGGCGCCTATTTAGACATATTTTTAGATGCACAACCGGTTATATTCGCAAACAGTCTCACGCGTGGGCCCGTGATTTTAAAATAAAAAAGCTGCAGAATTTTCGTTTTATTTCGTTTAATTGCGAGGTCGGCAATTGTCGCTTTCGGATCTTTGGATCTTAACATCGAATTGGTTTCTGCGCGCACATTTTTCACTCAACTTTCCCTTTCTCGGACCTGAACTACGCGTTTCTGCCAGATCGATTTCACTTCTCCATTCGGAGATTAACCTTTAGCGGGATTTTGATACAAAGCGTGTTTACGACTGTATATATTCGCACTTGACAAACAGACAGCAGTCCTCCTTGGCCAGGTTTGGACTTGTCGATTTTTTTTTTTCAACAAAGCCGAGCTTTAGAGTATTTGGCAAATTACTTGTTATACATCAGAACTGTAATCTTCGATTACTTAATAATGAGCGAGATTTTAACAGATTTTTTTTTTTATTCGAAACTAGATTTCTTTTCTTTTTTTCCTTTTGATAATAAGTGTACACTGTCGGAACTTGAGAAACCATGATAAGAGATATAAAGAAAGATCCGTCCCGAATTCGCGGCAGAATTAACCGCGAAATTTTCCTCATTCGTCACGAGACATGTACTACGTACAAAGACAAAAAGAAAAAGAAAGAAGAGCACCGTGAATCGAGATTTTTACCTTAAGCTTCATGTTTCCACGTCGCCAAGATGAAAGATGTGGATAGATACGTCGTATTTCTCCGTCTCTTTATCCCTCACGACACTTTTTTCCTATAATTCTTCCCTCTCCTCCCTCTTGCGATATACCAACTCTGCGACGGAGGCGGTATCGCCGAAAATCCGAACTTCCGGAGACAACGACCTCGTAACCGACTTGCGTGTCACGGTCGTGAACGCGTACGACTGTCGCGATGATATTCCTAAGCTGTGCGGCTAACCGAGCCGATTTTCAAAACGCCCCGCTCTCCTCTACCGCGTGTAGGTCTCCCTACCATCTGGACCGTCGACACATGATTGGACAACCAGTGCGGCCAGCTGGATCCTGTAAAACCTTTCACCGTCCCACGCATCCCTTCCGTCGGGAAAGACTGTTCCTCAAAAAAAAAAGCGAATCTCTCGGAGACGCGAAAGGCGCGGCGACTTCTTTCGATAGCGCGCCTTCCGCGGCGCGAAAGCCAGTTTCTGCGAGTTTGCAGAATTGTGTGTTTTACACGTACAGATTACAACGCGCCTTTACCTTTCCTTCGTTTTTCATTCTTTCAATTTAAAAAGCATTCAATTTATCAAGCACAAGAGCAAGGAGACCGCGCATCGCGTCGTAAACGAGATTATCCGCTAGCAAAATAATCCCAGTTGGAATATCGCGTTACGGAAAATAGAGAATGATTTGCGCGACAAATCGACGCGAATATCGCGTGACAACAAATGTACGAATAGCGCGCGTGAACACGCGGAAAAGCAGACCGCGACAACGTAGAGCATTGATGTCGGCCGGAGTGTATCGGAGCTGGAACAAGTAAACACTACACTTGATCGTCTCGAGAAAAATAGCTGACGCACACGACAAACACCTTTCAACCTTCGCACCTCCGCTCATGCTCTATCGAGCTTCTTGCTCGCGCGAGAACGCGTTCTGGCGGGTTGCGTACAAACGCGCATACGGAGCATACACACGCATGATGATACCGGACGCGAGCCGTTAATGACAGACGTTCGAGTCACATTGGCAGCGTCAATTTTACAATTGACTGTAGTGCAGCTTTAGCGAGTTCGTGTACTCCGCGCCAGAAAAGTCGAAGACCCGTTTTGCACCGGACACGCACTCGTTTCACATAACGAATCGTCATTCACGAAATCAGACGCGGTTATCTCGTGAGTAAATATGAGAAATAGACAACCTTTCAGCAACAAGAAAATTCAACCTCATTTGGTATATATTTTTCAATGCAATCCTTTGAAACTTTATTGTTATGTATTTGCATATTACACTGAAAGTAAGGTACTACACTGAAAAGTAAAATTTTTAACAATAAAAAAGGATGTTCTTGTTAAATTGCTGTTAATTCATCTTGATACAAATTTTAATATGCAGAAGGAAAAGACAAACTTAAAAAATGTTGGGGTCATATGTGACTCTATCTTGTCATTTTAGGATTAAATCACAGTTGCAATATGTAAAGAAGAATTTACAGCAATATGTCTGCTGAGGGAAAGAAAGAGGAAAAG